ACACAACACACACAACACAACACAATATATATATAATATATATATATGATGTATGTATGTATGTATGTATGTATGTATGTATGAATATTCCGTAATGGGATTGGAATTGTTTGACAATACCATCGCATTTCAAAACTTCGGAAATTAAGGTACACTTGAGCATGAGTAATCTCTTTGAACCATCCAGTGTCAAGAAACAGAAAAAAAGAAAAAAATCTCGCATCGCAATCGGGCAGTTAAAGCCGCCATTTTATTTGTATTGACATAATATGGTTAAGTAAGTGGGCCGACTCAAGAATTCAGCGACGAAGACCATAGTGCATTACGTCTGTTTCAAAGCCGGTATGTGACGTAATACGTTTTTTCCTTGTTTTCTTCTTATGAGTGTTCAACCGCTCTGTTCAAGGAGGAACCGTCGCCTCAGCCTCGTTTAGTTCCCCTTTTGTCCGCAAAGATTCAAATTCACACAAACGCCATGACGCTATGTTTCTTTTTCCAGGTGTGCACGCGCCCGTTACCCAATATCTTAATGAACGGGAATGGAGAATTCAGAGGTGAGACAATAACTTATCAATGGCTATTCTAGAATGAGAGATGACTTGCAGAACACGCAACGAAAAGCAGGTCTATATAACGAAGAGCATTCCCGCGCGTTCGCCAGAAAAAAACAAGCGAGCATCGCAGTGCGCACCGCCACGCGCCACATCGGAACCTCTGGGAGTCTACGTCGTTAAGAGATAGAATTCCCGTGTATCCCTGCCGCAAAGCGACCTTAAGGATAGGTGCAATGGCCGGTGGATCGAGGGGAGCGATGATTTATGGTCGGTGGTGGTTGTGTGTGATGGCGGCGAGCTGCTTTGTGACAGGTATCGGCCAAGGAATTTTTGGGAGGGGTTTCGGGGTCTGTGAATAGCCGTGGAAAAGTAACTGTAGCGAGGGGATGCGATGTGCCTAAACGATTATTCTCTCTCTCTCTCTCTTCGCTCTTCGCTCTCTCTCTCGCTCTTCGCTCTCTCTCTCTTCTCTCGCTCTCGCTCTCTCTATCTCTCTCTCTCTTTCTCCCCCTCTCTCTCTCTCGCTCTCTTTCTCTCTCTCTCTCTCTTTCGCTCTCTTTCTCTCTCTCTCTCTCGCTCTCTTTCTCTCTCGCTCTCTTTCTCTCTCTCTCTCTCTCTCTCTTCTCTCTCTTCTCTCTCTCTCCTCTCTCTCTCTCTCCTCTCTCTCTCTCTCTCTCTCTTCTCTCTCTCTTCTCTCGCTCTCTTTCTCTCTCTCTCTCTCTCGCTCCTCGCTCTCTTCTCTCTCTCTCTCCCCCCCCTTCTCTCTCTCTCTTGCTTTATCTCTCCATCTTTCTGTTTCAATCTATTCATCATTATATCTATCTATCTGCTTATTTACCTAGCTATCTGTCTAACATCTGATTACGTTGAAGTCAATATATTAATCTTCATTTTGTCAAAATCACTCATCTTTTTTTCTTTTTTTCGTGTTAT